GGAAGTCTTTCCAGAGAGGTTTAACTAAAGTGAGAAGATCCACCCTGAGTGTGCGCGGTCCCAGCCCGTGAGCTGCAGTCCAAGACTGAATGAAAAGTAGGAAGGGAGGAAGACAGCAGAGGGCCACCAGGCACGGTGTGACCAATTGCCTCACCCTCCCACCATGGCTTCATGTTGGACTGTTGCTTCCGACCATGAGCCAAAATAAACCCTCCTTTCTCACAAAGTTCCTGTCAGATATTTTGTGACAACCAAGGAAGGGACTGTTTCGGGACAGGAGCAGGTGCCGCTCTCTGGGCAAGCCAGGACTGAAAGGTCAGTCCGCCCTTCCACATGGGCCCCTTCCTGGGCCCGATTAGTGAAGCTGGCAGCCTAGAGGGACAGAGTAATAGCTACCACTGCGCATGAAAGCAGGCTTCTTTGCAACTTGCTACAGAAACAGGGAGCCCTCAAGCCCGTGGCCTTCTTGGCCTTAGCCGCTGAGAGGGCAATGTCCACCCCTGGTCCTTTTCTGGAAGGGAAGTAATACAAATGTGTCACCAGTCACACTGCCTGCTATGCTGAGCACAACAAAGGCTTCTGTCTGCAACTCCAGAATCTCAGGTCGTTTATAATAAGGTCAAGTGAAACCCCAACCCTGACACTTCAGGAACGTTCTCATTTGCTGCTCCTTCTCCCTACCCCTCGCACCTGTCTCAGTTCCTACCACACACAACCTTCACAAGGGACTATCTCTGGTACTCCTTCTGCTTCGGGAGTCCGTGGGTCCCCTCGTTTACGCTTCAGAGAACAGACTCGAAGCAGAAGTCCACGTAGACCCTGGAAATGAGTTAAGAACATCTGGACAGAAAAATTCCAGGATCCTGAGTACCAGCACAGAGTGTGAGCTCTGGGGAGACACAGCCTTATGGTCTTGCTGACCGTTCATCCCATGGAGGGTGTGGCTCTGGAGAAGAGGAAAGCAGCGTCCTCTAAAGCGGAGGCTCTCTTGGCCAGGTTTGTCCCACGCTGGGTAGAGGGAGAGGGCAGCAACCATGTGGCACTGGGAGGCACATCAGATTAGGGTGACAGTCAAGGGGCTGAATTCCGGTCCCCTTGCTACTTTCCGCTACTTTTATGACTTCAGCCTTACTGCGCCTTACAGTGACTGGCGGGGAAACAACACGTTCTCCAAGATGCATTTTAAGACCAACTTCCTAAGAGTCTGAAAATCGAGGCAGGAAGAGAGGGACCGGAGCCCATAGGCTTTTAGAGGCAGAACAAAACAAGTAATGAACCGAATGGCACAAACGGAGCCACAAACACCTTCTCGTGGTGGGCTGGGTGGGCTGTGTGCATCACTTAGGCGAAGTGGCCACAGGGATGAAGAACAGGATGTTCTCGGGAGTGAGACAAGGGCGGGTGGGTCCTTCCTGAGAGACCAGCGGTAAGCTCAGAGAAGCAGAGTCTCCAGCAGCCCCAACTGGCACAGCTAAGTGCAAATGTACTTGCTGACGGAGCTTAGGAGGAAGGGTCCCCAGGGACACCATCTCACTTCCCTTTTCGCTTCCTGGATGGCATGCAATTAGTGGGCCATCTTACTAAAGGCGGCACGAAGGTACATAAGCACCACGTGTCAGTTCCAGGGAGAGAGGAAACAGGGACACTACCCTCCTCCCAGGGTCTTGCGCTCAGAAAAGGGAGACCTTTCCCCTAGACACCAACATGCCAGGAGTCTCTTGCTGAATTTGGTGCACACAGAGCCCAGGTTGGCTCAGAACCCCAGCAGCACTCTTCACCTGGGTATCTTAGCTATGAGAGGCATTCTTTCCCTCTAGTGATGAAACGCCCACTCCTGTGTCATGCATGTCCCATGAAATGGAGCCACTCCATGTCTCCCACCCGCTTCTTGTAACCGAGTCCCCATCGACATTTGTCTTCTGTTTCTGCGTCTGCCCAAAGGACAGCGAGGGGAGAAGTGTCAACGGTAACACAAACACAGCTGTGTGTGCATCCAGGCCAGGTCTGTGCTCAGTTCAAACATCGTGTGATGTGATGAGGAGTCCAGAAGCCTCCCCGGCCACCTGCCTCTCTGCAGCTGGGGTCAGGGCATGGGGCATCGGGGATTGTACCATAGTCATTAGCAAGGGGAGGCCCTTGCAAGACACACAGGAGGAGGGCAGATGAGAAGAGGTGGGGTGGCAGGCCGCACCAGAGCCCATGCTTCAGCAAGAACAGCTCTTCTACATATTTGCCTTTTCAGCCAAAGTACATGAACTATGGGTCATGGCTATGATGACCGGAGGAACTTCTGGGTAAAACTGGCTGTAGGAATAGTATAAGCAATCAAATTCTAGACAACACCATCGCATAAAGGTTGTCCACCGGAAGCTAACTTTGAGCCAAGAGAAAAGGAAGAGAGTAGCAGGGGCTCACGAGGAAGCCACACGGAGGTTCGTAGCAGTCAAGGCTAGCAAAGTGTGGGGCTAGCCATCCAGAGAGGCTCCCTGTGAGAGAGCGAGAGAGCCTAGACAGAAACAGAAAACTACCGTGTCACTGCTTATATACAGAATGATTCGCTGAAAAGCCAGACTCAGAAACAAGGATGTGACACTGGCTCAGAGGACTGGGAGCTGAGGTTTCCCTCAGAGGCTTTGAGGTGGGAAGGTTCTGTGAGTACAGAGGGTCACTGCAATTGATGGCACGGGAGTAAGACTTCTGGTAATTCTTACGTTGACCTAAAGCATCCGCATGACAGAAAGAGAGATAACCACATGTGTGGTGTGTGTTGGGGGTTGTAATCTACTGCACTATGATAACCATTCTACAATGCACACATATGTTGAGTGGTGATGCTCAAAACTGTACAGCTTTATCTGTCAGTTACAGCCTGGTAAAGCTAAAGACACAGCAAAACAAGCTAAACCCGTTCTCTGCTTTGGCCAGTGCCAATATACTAGCCCTGACTGCAATCAGTGACAGCCACTGCCAGGGAAGGGCCAAACGCCAATGGCCTGCGCCAGAGTTCCAGATGAGGAACTATAGCAACATGCCCATGGAGTATGTCCAGTGTATGTTGTTCAATGAAAAATTTTTAACAAAGAAATATGTACAATACAAACACATACATATAAATTATCCTAAGAAGTAATGATAGAGCCAAAACAAAGTATTCTGAGGTTTAAATAGGTATTTGATATAAGAATATATCTAATATGTGTGTGTTTGTGTGTGTATGTGTGTGTGTGTGTGTGTGTGTGTGTGTGTGTAGGCCAGAGGTGTCCCCCTTGCTGCACACCAAGGAGGCGAGGCTGACTGGCCAGTGAGCCCCAGCGAGCACTCTAGTCCAATGAGTAACGTGTTTGCCACACAACCATGGAGTATTTGGATGGCCAGTGTCCCTTTAAAAGATGGGTGTCATAGTGTACTCTAGATACCCCAGCTCTGGTGTTTGGGGAGTAATGCAGAATCCTGGGGACTCTCTGGGCAGCCAGTCTATAGCAATGGCAAGCTCCAGGTTCAGTAAGAGAGCCTGTCTCAAAAAACAAGGTGGAGAGCCGGGCGGTGGTGGCGCACGCCTTTAATCCCAGCACTCGGGAGGCAGAGGCAGGCGGATCTCTGTGAGTTCGAGACCAGCCTGGTCTACAAGAGCTAGTTCCAGGACAGGCTCCAAAGCCAAAGAGAAACCCTGTCACAAAAAACCAAAAAAAAAAAAAAAAAACAAGGTGGAGAGTGAGAGACAACGATACGGATTTCAATAGCTAGCCACATGCATACACATGCATCGGGCCCCACAACGCTATTAATAAGAATACCCTGCCAGTAACTGAAGAAGAAATGACTGGCGTATAGAAAGCTGTTTCTAGATCCCTTCCTCTAGGTGATTACTAGAAACTGCTGATAACCAGAAAACGAGTGTTTCCATACCTCCCGAGAAAGATGAGAGGACCCTAGGAGGAATTCATGCCTAAACTCAACACCAAAGCAAAGCAGTCCACAGTGAACACAGGACTGTCTAAAGGGCACCACAGGCATGCCAGACTTGCGGAGGCCGTGGGATGACTGGCTGAGCTCTGCACTAAGCAAATACAGACTTGGAAGAGAATCCGCATGTTAAAGATAAGAAGACAAGCAATGAATGCCTACGCCGATTTGAGCCTTGTGATGTGTGGATACCTGATTTAAGTCAACACACAAAAATTTAAAAAAATGTTCACGCCTGGACGTGGGGGTGCACACCTGTAATCCCAGCACTTAGGAGGTGAAAAGCATGGATACATTTTTAAACATTCATGGAAATCAAGGAATAAACAAACAAAGCAAAGTGTAGCCAGATGGAGAGGGGAGGAGACCCCCCCAGGGCAGTAGGTTTGTGGGCCCTTTTTAGCAGGCTTCTTCTTGGTCCCCACACAGCCCTTTTGAGGCTTTGCTGCCCCCGTGTGGCCAACGGGAGGTCTAACAGCCGAGCTTGACAGACACAAAGAGCAAGAATGATGTTGATGGATTTCCTCCTGGGCCTTCCCCAGCCCAGGGCCAAGTGACAGGCAGGAGACAAAACGCTAAAGGAATGGCTGAGGTGGAGGATCCAGAGGACCAGAAAAGCCTGGGAAGAAGGTGACCAAGGGGAGATGGAGACTCAGAAGATGGGGGTCAGAGACGAGCAGCAATGAAAACAGAGTTTTACAGTATGAGGAAGTTCCACCAGGTTGGGGGTGATGTCACGGGCAGGTGGGGGGGGAACTGATCCTGCCTCAGGCAGTCTGAGGACACACAGGGGTCAGGTAAAGGGCACCTCCCTACCAGTCCTTCAAAAGGAAGGAACACGCATGTGGTATGTGCACATGTGGATTTGTATACACCTATGAGTATGCGAGGAGCCCATGAAGCAGAACTGCTGGGTGGTGCCCAGCTCCTTGAATATCCAAGGCACAGCCCCATTTATAGCAGAATCCCCCTTCCCTCCTGCTCACTGGACATAGCCCAGGACAAAGGTCCTCCCACCTTCTTCTGGCCACGCTCACCTATTGGTGTTCTCCAACACCTCCACCTTCTTCCGAAGTTCCAAGTTCTCAGTTGAACAAGACTCCACCCTGAGGGGAGAGAGCCAAGACACACAGTCACTCTCCAGAGGGCAACTGCTCAGCCAGGAGCTAGTGTAGAGGTGATTGGTATCACAGAGAAAGAGGCAGGGGTGGTCACTGAGGAAGAGCTGAGACAGTCTGAGTGGAGGAAAGAACGAGAGTTCAGAGGGACAGCATGGCAGGCCAGGGCTCTCCTCAGGGAGGAGCACGGGGCGGACACAGAACCCCCGTTAGGCAGCTCAATCTGGTTCCTCATCTCTTCCCACAGCTCTCAGTCCTCACTGCACTACAGGAAGGAGAGCCACCAGCGAGCTGCACTTCTGGAGAGGTCTGCTCCAGAGCTTAGAGCTTGTGTGAAAGGCAGGGCCAGAACCCAGGCCAGTGAAGTGTTGGGAGCCCACGTGCCTAGAGAGGCAGAGAAGAGAGACCCGCAGAAACAATCTTGATTATAGATGCCTTGAGAACACAGTAAAATAACAGGACCTAAATCAGGTCACAGACACACTGCTTCCCATAGAAACTTCTAGAACCAGTTGTCTTAGCACACATGCGCGAATAAGAAAGACTCAGTTATGCGTCTTCTAGAACCTCCTCCCTATCTCAAAGTCACACCAACGTCCTAGAGATGGTAGAGATGGGGCTCAATTCACACTTCCCTCCGAGTCCTCGGGGCATACAAGGGTTTCAAAAGAACAAACGGTGCCTTCATATATTTTTACAAAAAAAAATTTTTTTAAAAATTTGTCTGCCCATGGCATGTATTACAGAGTAGAGGAAATACCAGAGTGTGATTCGTGTCATTCGAGGCCAACAGGACCTGGGTAAACAACACTGCTCCTGTAGGCTGAAGCTGAGCGTCTCTGAGGAGTTTCAGGAATGCTAGTATCTAAAATTGCTCAGGGAGCCTAGCAACAAGTATTCAAGATCAGGGTCAGAACGCGGAGATTCTCACGCCATAGTTCTAAGCAGGTCCTCCCATATGACCACTAGGGGGCAGGCAAACACTGTCGATGCACTGGGGGAGGGGGAGAAATGGTGGCCGCCAAGCAGCCCCTCACCCTGCTTGGTGACTATTACCTAAAAAACCACAACCAGTCAGTGAGCAGGCTTACTTTTTCTCCAGGCTGTCCATGTATTCTTTCTTCTTTCGCCTGCTTTCCTGGGCAGAAATCTGTGAGATAAGAGGTAGGGGGTGAATTTCCATTTTTGTAAGTAAAACAGAGTGGATGGAACCCCGGAGGTCACCTGGACAACTTAGGCTGCCAGCTTCCCTTTAGCCTGTGGACTCTCGTCTATTTATCACCAGCTCTGTTTCTGGCTCAAACGGATCCTCCCAAACCCGCCAACAAACGCCTGGGTCACAGACTGATCATTGAAATAGCCCAGAAACATGATGTCAGCTCTCTGGACCTCGGCTGGCTCGATTATATATAAAACCAGCCAAGTGGGCCTGCATGTGTATAAACTGTCTGCTGGCCCTGTATGAGAGTACAGGGGTGTGACTCTGGTTCTCTCTCTGCCTTCCGCTCCTGCTCTTCGCCTGGGTCACAGGCCTGGGCCCCACAAGCTGCCTTCAGCCGCGGGGGCAGCAGTTGAGTTCGGACAGAGACCAGGTGGCTACTGAAGATTGTTTTTATCACAGGAAAACAAACCTTTAAGTAATCCAGCATAAAGCTACAGTTGTTTATAAATTACGTATAGAGCAACTAGAAAAAAATATTATAGACATAAAAATCGGAAGACTTGGATTTTTAAAAAGACACTTAAAGGGAGATTCTTGTATCTTTTCCTGCTTCTGAACAGGCTACCACACAACAAGGAGTATACAAGTGTGAGAGCTCACACCCACGCTGGGCAGAAAGAGCTGGAAAGGATGGGCAGATGGTGTCTATGCTCCTGGCCTGGCTCTGGGAAATCCCACTATGACTCTGGGGTGCAGGTGAGGGCTCAGTTCTTCCTTGTCAGTCACAGCTCACCTTATTCTTGATTTTCCTCCGGATTTTCTTCAGGGCCTTCTCCTCAGATTTTGTCAGAGGCAGCTTGGTAGGAATAGGATAGCCCTCAGCAATCAAGGTCCTCTTCTCTTCCTCTGTCAGGACCAGTGGGCCAGATCCCTGCAGCTTCTGTGCAGACAAGGGGGGGCAGAGAAGGGTCAGACAGGAGTGGCTGGAAACTGACCTCAACATAGAGCGTGGAGAACCCGTCACAATGGCCCCCTAATGGTGGGTGCTCTGAAGTAAAAGACAAGATGAGATGTGCCGTTATGGGAGATTTATTTATTTACTTATGTGTGTGTGGCATGTGTAGCATGTGCTATGTATGTGTGTGTGTGTGTATGATGCATGCATGCAGAGTATGCATGTGTGCCCATGCATGCTCATATGGAGGCCAGAATAGGACATAGGGCATCTTCTAAATTGTATGAGACCACAAGTTTGATGTTATCGCCTAGGTTGGCTAGCCAGTGAGCGCTCGGGATAGATCTGTCCCAACCCCCAGTGCTGGTGTCACAGACACAGGCAGCCTTGCCTGGCTGTTTTTATGTGGGTGCTTGTGATTCAAACTCAAGTCCTCCCGCTTGCCGGGCAAGTGCTCTCATCCCATGAATCACCTCCCCAGCCTCCCACGTGGGGGTTTTCAACCCAAGAGCCCTAAAACAAAGGGAAGGCTAAAGAGGCCTCCATCCACCGTTTCCCGGGAAACACCCCATATCGATCACACACAAAGTAACAGTATAGAATTTGCACCCCATATCCCTGGAGGCTTAGGGGTGATGGAAAACTCCCTCTGAGCTTGGCTTCATTCAAGACTTGTATTGTTCTCCTGCTGAAGGGCTAATTTTATAACCGGTTCTTTCCACACCACAGTAGCTCTTCCCCTCGGTTTACAGCTAACAGGCCTGGAGCCCCAGAGAGTCACCAGCAGGCGTCTTTCATGGAAGTTTAGGCTTCCGGAGTCCTGCGCTACCCGTTAGCAATGAAGATGAGAACCACAAGTCCTTGCATTTAGCCCAGGACACAATGACGTGTTTTTGTTAGTCATACAGGCTGACTCACTGGGGTTAATCACCATGCTCCCTGTCACCGGGAGCGGGGTTGAGGGAAGACTGAAAACAAACCCCATCTCTGAAGTGGCTCGGGATCAAGACTTAGGGCTGAAGCGCCACCCGTGAAATCTGGAGAGCAGTTCAGTGCTAAGTGTGATGTTGACTGGAGGAGCGTTCAACTTCTGGAGAGGGAGAACCCGCGTAAGGTCACGGGAGGAGAGATGAGACTCGAAGGCTGCTTTCTGGAGAAGTGGTGCCTTCTGAGGATGGGGTGGGGGCGCATTGTGAGCAAAGCGAAGGGCAGTGCTCTACTTAGAAAAGGAACGGGAGATGCCTCTGCCAAGGGCAGGTGGGCTCATGGGGCAGGGACGGCAAAGGGCGACCTGTTTAATACAAGCAGAGGTTTCAGGGCTCCACAGGGCGCCTAGCTGGAAACACTGCCTGACTGCTAGCAAGAGTATAGGGATAGGGCCTCCCCCACAGAATGTGCAAAACAGGTAAATCGTGGAAGGAGATGCAGGTACAGAGGATGAAAAAAATTCCAACAACCTAAAGCCAGGTTCAAGTAGAAAAGGCAAAAGGGGGATGTGAGTTCTTTTGTTCGAAGGAAAGGTGAGAGACACATTGTTAAGATCTAACTCAGGGAACAAATGAATCTGACTTTCGACATTATCTTGGTTCCCATACTTTCTTAAAATATTTCATTTATATCTGTTAGTCATAGACATTGTGGGCATGCACAAAAAAATTCTCAAAGAACAAAATATTATCTTTAAAATTTGTTCTTCATGATAGCATAATTTTTAAGACCTCATAGAAATCAGATTCCCTCTTCAGACCACTAAAATGTGAATTCTCTACCCCTCCTTTTACATGTGTGCAGGATGAATAATGACCTGTGATTTTTGTCCCAGGACCCTGGGTTAAGAGCCTCCAAACCCTCAACACACACAGAGATTAGCCTACGTTTCTGAGCTTTTGACATCAAAGAACTTAATCTCAGAAAGAGAGACTTTCTTTTCAAATTTCGCCCAAGAACGCTTATCTGAAAGATGAAAGCCATTCCCTAGTGCACGCTAAGTACGCATCATCTACACGGACGGCGAGTGTTTATGCTGGCACGTTCAGGGGAAAGAACAGAACAGAAGCCTCAGGCTTCCAGCCCTGGGAAATAAACGAATGTCTAAGAACCAGGCCTGTGCGCATGAAAACCAGAATTACTGAGCTCTGCAGCCACGTCTTCACAAACACGTTCTTTAGGGTTCTTACTGCCCCACTTTGGTGCTGCATCTTGGACCAGTCTGTCCCCACCTGGAGGCTTGGTCCCCAGTGTGGTGCCACTGAGAAAAGTGGGCATGAAGAGTACATGTCATTGCCTTTTAGCAAAAGTGAGTTGGGTCTCACAGGCTTGGATTAGTCACCCGGGGGTGTGCTGCCACACAGGTTCCCGTCTGTCTCCTAGTACATGTGTTTTTCCCCTCGTCTTTCCCTTTTCCTGCTAAGCACGGAGCATCCTCTCCAGAAGCTACGCAGATACAGGCACCATGCTCTTGGAATTCGCCACCTCCAGGATTGTGCACCCAAACAAACAAAACCAACAAAATAATCTTTCCTAACTTACTCAGTCTTGGTTATTTTGTTTCAGCAACACAGCATGGTCAAAGGCTTCTAATCACTAAACAAATATTTCATTACAACAAGAGAAAAATCGTACTGAGAGGATTCCTGGCTCCCGGGGAGAGTCACTCAGATACTTACATGTGGAGCTGTGAGGAGAGGAGAGGTGGACAAGGCAGAGGGGCCCCGGGGCATGGCTCTGGCGGGGCTGTGGGCCTGAGACAGGCTGAAGGGATGCAGGCGTGGGTTAGGGCTCAGGCTGCCCTCAGAGTCGCTGCTGTGGCTACTGGGTGGAGTTGGTGGTAGGTGCAGTTGATCCACGGGGGCTGAGGACGAAGAGAGCACATTTCATCCATCACAGAAAAGGGAACACAACACAAGACCCAGCTAAACACGCGTGTGTCTCCGTACCGGAAGATTGGGGTAGGTGCACAGGTGGGCACTCTCTCTAGGCTGACCTGAAAAGTGCTTTAAGACATGGTGAGAAGGGAGCCAGGCACAGAATGGTGTATCCGGTTGTCCTCTTCTCGTATGACAAGGGAGAGAAGGTGAACATAGAGCCACATTTACCAGTCCTAGCACAAAACTACCCCGGGCAGGCATGTGTGTGAGACACTAACAAAAGGATGACTCTAAGGGTGGCCTGGGAGGGTGGGTGCCCCCAACATGGTGTTGAAAAGACTGATCCCTGTGTTCCTTTGTGATTTTGTCTTTGCAACATAATTTTGAAGCAGGTACTCATGATCCCCAGTCTGGCATTGCATTCTGGATAACTGAAGATGACTCTGAGCTTCCGCTCCTCTTGCCCCCCACCTCTGGAACGTGGAGACTGAAAGTGCACTCGGCCATGCTTGGTTTTATGTGGTACTGGGGGGGAGGGGTGGACTCAGAGTCTCCATGCATGCTATGCTAACCCTCTATCAACGGAGCGACACGCCCAGCCCCACGGTATTCTTTTTATATGGTTCACACAGGTTGATGTGCAATCAAATCGGGTTAGCCGTATGTGGTTTGTTTAAAAACAATCTTTTAATAAACTGCCAACCTGAGAGTGCTCATGGAATCCTTGGAGAAAGACTGCTTTGTTTCCGGAGGAATGTGCCTGGTGGGGCCTGCAGGCAGGAGGCCAGGCATTCTTCATTCAGAAACCCCACTTCTACCATTAGGCAGATAAGTAGTCAGAGGAAAAGAAAATGGGGGTACGAGGTACCGTCTCTCCTAAAGTCTTTCTTTCAAGGCATATTATCAGGGCCGAGAACACCGCACAGGGCTCAGGCCAGCATCCCAGGGCAGCTGGAGTGCACTTCTGGATGGGGAACACACCTGGGCTCCACCGAGGGCTCCCTCCCTCTTTTCTTCTGAACAGGATTTTTCTGGTCTGCCAGCCGCTGCTGCTGAAGGAGTTTACATCCGAGGGTCCCTCACTCCAAGCCCCTCCAGGGGGCCCAGCTTCATGCAGCATCTCCATAGCCAGAGAACGCTCGTATGCCCACTGAGTAGCTCGGGGGTAGGCTGCGTCTGTCCCCTCAGAAAGTAGGCATGTCATAAGTATCAGCCAAGGTTACCAAGGCGTCCCCTCTGCCAGGAATATACGACACCACGAATCAGATTAATCTACCAGAGACTCCAGCTGAACTCCCAAGGACACCAAGAGGTTTTTCCGCCCCCCTGGCCTGGCACAGGCGAAGCTATGCTTTTCTCCTTTCTGAGCCGAGCGCAGTCCCCAAAGGAGAGAAGCAGGCTGACAGGAAGAGCCTGCCCATCTGGACACAGGTGTCCTGGGATCAGATTTCTAAACATCATTTGAAACGCTGCTCCTAAGCTGCAGAAGGAGCTGGGGACAGCAAGCTATTCTGCCTAGAAACTTTGATGTGCACCAGGATATTCAATTTCTTCATCTGTCTTTATCCAGGATAACGAGGGAGGATTGCCCTTTCTCCTCCGGTGACCCTAGATCCTGCCGCCACTATGGGGCTCTATTGTTCCAGTTGTGACACTTTCGGAGCCGCGTCACAACAGAGCAAAAAGAACAAGATCCATTTGGTGGTGGTGAGCAGCCATAAAGATGAAAGAAGCTGCCTGGAAGCAGACGCTAGGGCTCAAAGGCATGAAAACAAAGGCGCGATACAGACAGAAAATATTAACTTTTCACTTCTCTACACACAGTGAAGCCAGTCATGGCCAACCCTGATCCAGGGGTCTCCAGTCCAGCCCTGGGTGGAGTCCTGAAGGAAGGAAGGTAAATTATACCCCCGAGCTAGCATACAATGTATGCTCCCTTGCTCACTGTAGCACACGAGCCTTCTCTGCAATTGTGTATGCTTTGTTGACCATGCAATGAACTGTACATCTAAACATATGTTGAACGTGTAGCTAAGGAAGGTGCAGTTCCAACAGACACAGAATTTTAAGAGGAGTGCGCGCCACGCTCTGTGTAAATGAGGTACTGAGAGCTTCCTGTGCCCCCCTGAGGCGGAGGGTCTGCATACAGGATCAAGCACAGCTATATATGAGAACACAGAGGGGGGAACCAGAAAAAGAAATGATGTAGAGAATGAACACAAGGTAAACAATTCCAAGGCATGGTTAGGTTTTAAATGAACGACAAGAAGCCCAAAGAGGTGCATCATCAGGACCACGAATGTTACTAAGCAGAAAAGGGGCGGGCTCATCACAATTGTGACCCAAATAGGACAGCTAAACCCTGATTGTACAGACATGTTACAGCTTCATTTACAGAGGGTTAAAAAGTTTTAGTTGAGACAGAGTAACTATGGACTGCTGTGTACCCGTGGGGTGCTGGTGGGTTCACACTAGGGGGTGAAAGCACAAGGGTCCCATCAACCTCACGCATGCCACGGCAGTCGGAAATGGCTCTAAAAGCCCATCCTTGGTGAGCATCGAACCCCACTAATGCTCAGGTGGTTGGAAGTAAAGAACAGAAAGAGGAATAATTTTAACTAAGGAAATGTTTATCTTTCAAAATGTTTCTTTGGAATCAAGATTCTTAAGAACAGGATTTCTCCGTATAGCCAGTTACCTCTGTAATCCTGGAATGTATCGGGCTCCCTTCCCTTTAGAATGGACACCAGAAGTAAGGGAGGAAGGAGGCAGGGAGGAAGGAGGCAGGGAGGAAGGGGTGAGGGAGGAAGGGGTGAGGGAGGAAGGGGTGAGGGAGGAAGGGGTGAGGGAGGAAGGGGTGAGGGAGGAAGGGGTGAGGAGCATACCTTCCTTATGAGAGAAGTTTAAGAACTGATCCACTTCATGAGGTTCCAACTTAATCTTAGGGATAATTGTCTGGCACGAGGAATCCACCTGGGAAAGGAATTTCAGACATGAGTTTGTAACTTAGTAACAGCCTTTACAGAACGGGGAGGGGGGGGCATCTGTCTGTCAACTGTGTCTTACTATGGGCCAGCGCGGTAAGGCATGGGCTACATCGTACTTTCTCACAGCCAAACCTGGGATCTGATAGCTCTAGTCAAAATTCAAGGCTCAATATTATTATTATTGTTACTATGATTATTATTGGCGGCAGTGGCAGCAGTGCTATGGTAAAGACATCTATGGTAAACTACTCTGGTAAAACTTCAGAGTCACAGGCTTCCCGTTTGTCCTATCCCTCCAGCCTCCTTGATGACTGACGGCAAGGTCTAACTAAAAAATACCCACAGGGAAAGGGGAAAGGGAGCAGAAGGACAGAATCCTGACAGTGAGTTATACACATACTTTAGAACCAACCAAGGCCTGAAGAGGTGGCTCGGCAGTCAAGAGTGCTTGCTGCTCTTGAAGTCCTGGGTTCTGTTCCTAGTACCACCCAGTGGCTCACAACCACCTGTAACTCCAATTCCAGGGGATCCAGTGCCCTCTTCTGACCTTGTACCTCAACCATTCCCCTCCACTGGAATGAAGGCCAATCCCATGCACAGCTTCTCTACTGTGTTTTCAATTTCATAACAGCAATTAAGTAAAAAAAATTAAATCATCTTTGTTACTGATTTTTCTGTACAACACCCTCAAAAGTTGCCATAATCAATGTTGCTAACAATAACATATTCTTGATACACTCGTGCATACCAACATGCCTGCCTGCCTGCATACATACATGACTATGCCCCCTCAAAATACATGCATCTCCTAGGATAAATGCTTTATTGCAGACCAAAGATCTCTACCTTTCGATATCTATATTTATAAGGAAGAAAACTGGATATACCCCAGCATTCATATCCAGAGGAGACTCTTCTTTCTCAAAGGGAGTAGAAATGGCTGTGATGGTCAGAGTGACAGAGGGGACAAGTCCTGGGGGCTGCTCCTCTGTGATCGGCTCTGTCTTGATGGTGGCTGACGGAAAGTCTGCAGACAGGTACCACTTCTCACTCTCCACTTCCTCTGTGGGAAAAGGACAACCACGCGTGAGCACATCTGACACGTGACCGCCGGCCACTCCCCAACCACAGTTCTAAGAAAAGGACTACTGAGAAGGCAGTAAAGGGATGCAAGCGTATGAGAGGAGAGCTGCACGGATGAGGAAAGAATTCTCTTAGCTGTGAATGCCCAGACATGATAAGCCTGAAGAAATGTTGGAAGGGTTACATGGAAAAGACAGAAACCGGCTGTGGCGGTTTGAATAAGAATGTCTCCCACAGGCTCCCATGACTGGATACTTGATTTCCAGTCGGTGGAGCTGCTTGGGGCTGAGGAGGTGTGGTCTCGCTAAATGAAGTGTGTCACTGGGGTGGATGCTGACGTTCCAAACACCCATGCATGCCAATCACAGGGCACTCCCCGTCTTCCTGCCTACAGCTCAAGGTGTGAGCTCTCAGCTCTCATCTCTTCTTGTCACCATTTTATACCTGCTGCCATGACTCATTGCCATGAGGGACTCGAACCCTCTGGAAACATAAGCCCAAGTAAACCCTTTCTTCTATAGGTTCTTGGCCATGCTGTGTTACCACCTGATAGGAAAGTAGCAGTGCACTGGGCATAGCGAGAAGGGGTTAAGCACATAGAGAATGAGATGGGAGGGAAGGCTTTTAACCAGGTAACATGTCCCACTTTTGGGGTTTCAAACCAAGTGAATATGCTATTTAATAATAAATAAGTAGAGTCAAAAGAAAAAAAAAAAGAGGCTAATGTTTGGCAAACAAGGCCTCAGGACAGAACTTCTCCACAGGTATTTGTCTCCTTCCTTCTTCCCTCCCTCCCTCTCTTCCTCCCTTTTTCCCTTCCATCCTTCCTCCCTTCATTTTTTTCAGTTCCCACTCCCTAGTTTTCATCCTTTCCTATTTTCTCCATCTACATCTCAAATCTAACTAGGCACCCAGAGCCATTGCACAGACCCCTGGGAAAGTTCTGGGTTTGCTTGGCTGAAATGGATGAAATACTCGTCTAGGGAGGAGAGCAGGGTCGTGGTGAGCCTGGGCTCTGTCCTGTCACCCAAGTTTTCATGATGATCACCGGGCCTGGGGAGAGATAACTGCTAAGCAGCAAGATGGAGCCAGTGGGGCTCCTCAGACCCTGGACACGCTGCTCTGAAACTTAAGCTGCACCAAACTGCTTCAGAGCAAATTACTCAGCCCAGCCCTGCAGGAATAGAGGGTGGGGTAAGGAAGGAGAGCCAAGAGTCTGGAAACATGCAGAGAAAAAGGAAAGGCCAGCAGTTCCCGAAGCCCACAGCCCTCAGCAGACACCGGCTTTACTAAGAAGGGGCACACACAAACCAGATACGCTCCTCTGCTCTTTGAAAACAAGCCCCGCCTACTCGGTCACCTAGCATTTCCCACCATGAACACACACTCAGGAATTTGGCTCCAGTTTTCTTATTAAAAAAATGGGGGGGGGCGGGAGGGTACACAAACAATCACACAGAGAAGCATGGGAACTTGGCGAAAGCAAAAGCTCACAAAGATAAACTCCAACTCCATAAACTACATCCTCTGAGCACAGAAAAGGTTAGGTTCCCACTCACAAGGTGGCATTCTGCTTTCAGAGCCAGTTCTATAAGCTGCCCAGTGTCTGGTGTGATGGGGGGATTTCCGCCACAGGGTGTGGGCGACATCCTGGCCCAGGAGGGGCTGGGAGGGAACAAAGGACCTCTTAATGGCTGCTAGAGGGAGGGGACCACACTGTACTTACACCCAGTTCTGTTGACCAGATGGGCACCCTGCTCAGCTTATAGAAACAACTGAACCACAGGCCGCAAGAGGACTAATCACTCTCCCGCAAGAAGGCTCGGTACGAGAAGACTGTCCATAGCTCAGAAGACAGGAGGAAAGTGTGTTTAGGACGAAATGAGGGTGGGAGGGAGAGGCAGAGAGAGGGTGTGGATCACTGTCTTCAGTCAGCGGTGAGATGCCGAAGCTGCTGCTCGTAGAAATCACACTCACAGCTCCAACTGAACATGGTCTGCCAAGAGGCTATAAGGAACATAGTAAGAAGAAATGTAGCTCTGGGTATAACAAAAGGAAGAGGAAGGGACACTCCTGGGAAAATGGCTCCATGCAATGGCCAGCAAATTGTGAGGTAGGGCCACATATCCTAATGTTACAATCAAAATGACTGTGACCTATGAATGCAAATGGCCCCCATAGACTCAGAGGGAGTGGCATTATTGGAGGCGTGGCCTTGTAGGAGGAAGTGTGTCTCTGGGGGATGGACTTTGAGGTTTCAGAACCTCACGCCAGGCCTAGCGTGGCTGCTCTTTTGGGTCTGGATGCAGAACTCTCAGCTATTTCTCCAGCACTGTCGGCCTGTATGGCACCATGCTTCCCACCACGATAACAATGGACTAAACCTCTGAGCTGTAAGCCAGCCCCAATTAAATGTTTTCCTTTCTAAGAGTTGCTATGGTTATGGTGTCTCTTCCCAGCAAGAGAACACTGACTAACACATTAACAAGAAAGAGACAAAAGAAACATGCCTGGACAGCAAACATAGATAACCATTCAGAATATTGCAGCTTTGTTCTTATTCTTTAACTTTTTTATGGTATCTCTAGAAGCCTGTATTTGAAACTATTAATATCATTCCCAGTTGCCACACATGGACATGCCGGCCTTGCCTCCTCTTGCTTTGGGGTGGCGATCCCCAGACAGAAGCTGGAGTGGCCGAGAGACCCCACTGCTGACTCCAGTCGACTTTTCCACTTTGTGTAGCTGTTTTTGTTATTTCTGCAATAAAATATCCAGACAAAAGCAACCCGAGAGAAAGGATCTGGGTGGCTACAGTTTGAGAAAAATCCATGATGGGTGGGGACGACATGGTGGTGAGGAGCGTGAGGTAGATGGTCACATGGTACCCATGAAGTAGACAGAGGGAATGTTGGTGCCCAGCTAGCTGTTGGCTTCTGAGGTAGCCTAGGATCCCAACCCAATGGAGGTTCCCACATTTAGGGAAGTAATCTGCCCCAATTAACTCATCAAGACAATTCCTCACAAGTATGTCCCATGGCTCTTTTCCTCGGTGAATCTTGGTTTAGTCATGCTATACCGATATAAGCCAGCACACCCTCCAACTGTGTCTTTTGCTATATGAGTTTTCAATACCCCCAGTTTTGCCCTGTAACTTAACCTAAACAACGGCATGCTAGCTTCTTAATACGACAGAATCTTGGAACGTTTTAGTGAAGGTTGAGTTTATGTTCTTATGGTTTTTACTATCACATAAGATAGTGCCAGGATGTGCCAGGATAATTGATCTCTTGATCCTAGATGAAGGAGCACAGCCTCACAGATCAAAGGCATGCCAAGGGGAGCTGAGCCAAATCATCAACTCTCGGCTAGCCTTAAGATGAGAGCGAATGCAGCTGGAACCAGCAGTTACTAAACAGAGCCCATGTCCACCAGTCAATCCCCAGCAGTGGAAATGTACAACCTCGAGTAACACGCTGATATTTATTCCAAGTACTGAGATTTAGAGCTGGGAATATAGCGTAATTGATACAGTGCTTACCTAGCATATACAGAGCACCAAGTGTGATTCCCAGTACCACATAAACACTGGTAATCCCAGTGCTCAAACGCAGGAGGCAAAGGCAGAAGGATCCAAAGTTCAGGCTCATCCTTGACTGCAGACCAAACTGGAGACCACCCTGGCACTATCTACCCCCACATACACACAGAAACTAAAGTACCGGGTTGAGAGGACCTCTTAGCATAGCTCGCTAGTACAACATGGCTAGAATTACAACATCAGAATCTATTGCAATAAGATAGCTGCATTGATTTTCAGAATAATTCCTCTAAGTCAGTCATCAACTGGAGATGGGTTAATAAATATTTGTAGGGGCTGGTAGGGTGGCTGAGCAGGTCAGAGCACCTGCCTCACGAGCCTCATGACCTGAGTTCGACTCCTACAAGCTACAGAAAGCTGGAAAAAGAGAACCAACTCCCAAAAGTTGTTGTCTGGCTTGCACATGCATGATTAATAAAAATAAACAAGCATTTGCAGACTGGCCAATCCGACCTACCAGGCGCACTGTAAAAGGACTGAGGTTAGATTAAGGAAGTGCAGTCAGTACGAAGCTTGACGAGAGCAGCATTCCAGTGCGGCTGAAATCAGAGAAGAGAGCTTGCATTCCCAACCCTGGGCTGTTGGCCTAAATTTTATGCCCAGTGGAATTAAAGATCAAATTAGAGAAAAGAAAATTACTAATGCAACCCATAAGGTAGAAGGTAAAGAAAGGAGAGAATTAGAATAGGAGTGGGCTCTGCAACTTGCCCGGGGCCTTAGTTTTATAGTTGAATTTTATTGGCAAAAAGACCACTAAGGCTTACAGTTAGACACATCCTCAGCTATTTGTATAACTGATTGATTAAACAGAGAGATAACTAAGTACTTGAAATACTTCAGTCTGCAACTTTTCTAAATTCTGCACTTCAGACTTTGAGTGAAACAAAGGTGTTTTTTTTTTTCTGAATTATACTTACAGACCTTTTAAGTTTCATTTGAGATGAAAGACATCCTCCCCTATTTTTAACAGTGCATATTCTGCATGATAAACATCCTCTAGAGCATCAGGTTTTATTTGCACAGCTTCCCCTAGAGGTTGATTTCCAAGGCTGCATCTCCTCGGCATCAGCCTTGGCTATTAGCAAAGATGAAGAGGCGCCAGGGTCTCACGGTAGAGAAGATCAGGTGGCCTTGGAGACCAAAGGACAGAGAGCTGCCTAAAGGCAATGAAATGACAGCATCAGGAGTAGAGCCTCAATCATTTCCATATGCAGACTTGTGTTTTATAGGCACACACACACACAACAGAACATAGAATAGGAATAAACATATATTTCTAAGAGAAATCACTTGGTACAAATAGCATCTATATGATTTTAAAAAGCCCTACATGTTTCCATTTATCATACAAATAGTATACATAAACTGAAGAAAGTTAC